TATATATATATATATATATATATCTACTATACTAATAAGAGTCCAAGAGAGTTAGACCTATAATGGGTAGAAAAAATGGCGGTCATAATTTTTTAATCAAATGAATGGTTCAGATTGATCAGATTTTAATTTTTTTCTTAAGATTTCCTAATTTATCCTTAATGAATATGATTATCCGTTAACTTTTCTGTTAAATATTATATTTTCTGTTAAGTTCTACTAGTTCACCGTTAACTTACTCATTGATTTCAATAAGAATGGTCTTAGGTTCGAACCCCATCCCAATCAAAGTTGGCATAATTAGTATTCTATTTTACTCTTATTAAATTAAATAATAATTTAGTAGCTACAACAAAAAAAAAAAATACATATGCATTTCTTTAATTTAGAATTATGTGTCTACAATGTCTTTATTCAAAAAAATTTATTCATTATCAATAAATTAAATAAGAGAAATAATTTCATTAGTTATATTGTCTTTATTTTTCTCGAATATAAAAATTATTTACATTCAAATTCATCGATTGATTATATTCGCTACATGGTCCGTACAATGTATTTACTAAAAAAAATTATTCATTATCAATAAATTAATTAATAGACATAATTTTATTAGTTATATTGTCTTTATATTTTTCCAAGTAAAAATTCTTTACATTCAAATTTCAAATTCATCAATTGATTATATTCACTACATTGTCTATATCTTTTTTGTGCACTATTTTTTAATTAAATATCAAAGTTATAATACAAAATAATGCTATAGATTTATTTACCAAGTATTTTATTTATACCATTAAAAAATTTAAAAAATATAATTAATATAGCCAATCATATTAACTACTTGAGGGATTTGTTGACAAAGGCAGTATTCAAATCGCACAACAAATTGAAGTGAGAACTAACTCGCAATGTCCTTGTTTGACAATCAGCAGTTAGCGGTTAGCGTTAGCGGATTATATTAGCGAATTTGATCAGCGAATTATATCAACAGTTGGTAAAAAGATATTTGAAAAAAATTAGTTGTTTAGATTAACATGTAAAATGGCCTAAGGGTATTATAATAGTAATAATAATAATAATAATAATAATAATAATAATAATAATAATAATAATAATAATAATAATAATAATAATAATAATTGTTTAAAAAAATAAAAAAATATAATTAAGCCAATCATATTAACTACTTGGAAGGTTTATTGACAAAAAGAGTATTCAAATCACACAACAAGTTGAAGTGGGAAACTACCTCGCAATGTCCTTGTTTGACAATCTGCAGTTAGCTCTTCAATATTATTATATATTTAATATTTTATGCCCTAATTTTTATTTGCTTTCCCTTATGTCCCGTATTTGGTTTCAACCATACCTATACAATTATTTTATTGATAATTATAATCAATCTTGACTATATTGTCTTGCATTTGTAAATTTAGAATTACCTATTTAAATATGCAAATTTAACATTCAATTATCTATGCTGAACAATTCCAATATAATTTTGCATTGATATTTACTTTAAAGTACTTACTTTTTAAAAAAATATTGGGCATTATCTCAATCGCGCAATGCGCGTAAAAAATTAGTATATATATATATATATCCCATAACAATCGCCAATTTGATCCATACATGTAATGACTGTCGCATTTTCCCCCGTGTTTCTCACAACGCATGACGCACCCAAATACAATTTTTCTAACAAGTCACCTATCCTTATACCATGGATCAAGATTCACAATGCACTATGAACCTTATTCATGTGTAATTGTGTATGTACCAGGATTCGCAATGCACTATGAACCTTTGTTCATGTGTATGTATTTTATGTTGTGAGTTTTTGTGTCTTGTGTTATTAAATTCTGTATCTGAAACAAATTAGTAATTGTGTATTATGTTATTAATTTTTGTGTCTTGTGTTGTAAAATTTTGTGCCTATGAGCACACAAATTATGTACCTAAATCAAATTTGAAAAATAAATAAATATATAACATGTGTATGTATTTTGTGTTGTGATTTTTTGTATCTTGTGTTATGAAATTTTGTACTTTACAAGTATGAATTCTGTACCTTGTCATTTTGATCCAGGGTTCATAATGCTATGTAGACCTTGGTCCATGATATAAATTTTTCTTCTTCCAACGTCTCCGGTGATATGCGGCAAATTATTGTGTGAACCATGGTCCACACAGTGTTATGTAGACCATAACAAAAGTACATTTTTAATATACTAAAATTACATTATTCGTGTACTGAATTTACATTATACAAAATAATGTATTTTCAGTACTCAAATAATATATTTTTTTTAAATACAATATACATTATTTGTGTACTGAATGTATATTATTTGTATACTGAATGTACATTATTTGATAGTATGGTCCACAAAATAATGATAGATGATATGCTATCAACTCTTCCATCTCAAACTTATTCTGAAACTCCCTTTTCCATCATTTTGCAATTTAATTAATCTCCTAAACTCTAATTTAAACGTGACAAATATATAGAAAAGGAATTTGAAATACCGACTAACTGATCTGAAAACTAAAGGATCGATCATAATTTCTTTCAAAGAGAATTGAAGCTAAGTAGGCAAGCAACGCAACTATGAACTAGCTAGTAGTTTCAATGTTTAGAAGCAACGCAACTCTAATTTGTTCTTTAGAAGGATCGGAATTTCAATGTTTCAACATTAACATGCAATACAGGACACTGATCGAGTGTCCGATTGACAAGTAATTCGTGTGTTAAGAATTTACACAACTTCAATTCTCTCAGCTCACTTCTTTTTTGCAAGCACATGTGAGATCGATGTGTTACACATTAGGGGTGCCAAATGACACAAGGATAGGCATTTTACCTTTCTTGATGATCTTCAACTGAAGAAGCTAGGATTTACATAAGATTGCTTAAAGAACTGTCCTTGAAAGTCCATCTGGAAATAGTACAAACAAAATATCATATAAGAATTTAGGTCGAAATAGAAAATACACTATAAGGTGACATGCATATATGCATAAAGACCAAGAAGGGTTCATTTTAAACAGAAAATGGTTCATTCAGGTCAAGTGGAAAGTGCAATTCAAAATATACAGACAGTAATTCACAATCCAATACGTGGAGCATATAATAATATCTAACTCCAACAAACATGCACTTTACCTTGACAGAAAATGGTTCATTTTAAACAGAAAATTTTGTATTTCATTTTTATTAAAAATAAAAATAAAAATAGAGAAGAATTCTCTGGCCGTACATGCCCTTTACTAATTTGTAGTTTGCTAAATTCTGTTAAATTGATGATGTTTGGGTTTCTTAGTTTATATGATAATCCTACTTTGACTTAGATAATATCATGTTAATGTTTTGTCTTCTTGCTTTGCAGATTTAATATTTCTCATATACCTATATCAAAGGTGGATTTATCCAGGATCAAGGATGTTAATTAGCACACAGATGTTACAACATAGAGCGAAGACGAGAAGAAAACTAACTGGTTCAATTTTTTATTTAATAGTGTTGGGCGGAGGCCGGTAAAGGCCAAGTCTATCACCCGGTGGCTGGGGGATTGTTGGGCGGAGGCTGGTAAAGGGCTTAAAAGGGTCAAGCCCAACACCAGCATCTCGAAAATGTGTGGCGGTATAAGGAAATAAAGTTGCGCATTTGCTACTAGCTATAGCTTTTGGCGTAGTGGCAAGCGTTTGATCCTAACAAGTAACAAATAGGATGATAGTTTTGCACATCGCAAACTTCCAACTATGTGGTTCTGTTTTAGTTTAGTTTTGAAAAGCAGATAATGCATGCCTGACTTTACAAACAACTTGAGGTTGATCCATTCATGGCATCAAGTGTTTTTACAATAGAGATTGTTTTGTACCATATTTATTCCATGTAAAAAGAAAGCAACCAGATCTAATTTAATTGACCAAACTCCATTAAGAAAGAAGTAGATACAGTTCCAAAGGCATAGTATTGACAACAAAATATACTAGATATCCATATAATTTCACTCTACAATACTCTCTAACCGTGATTGGGTGGATAGTCAAAAAGAAAAGAAAAAAAAATCAACCAATTGTTAATTCTCGTGCCCACAACATAATGCATTTCAAAGCATTGAAGAGGAAGAGAAATGGGCCTTACCTTGATTGTATTCTATGGAATAATACACACTTCTGGAATGTGAGCTACGTCATGCCAGTGTTCCCCATTTCCCTTATCGTATCGCCTTTGCAGTTCTGTGCATCCGGTTATTACCAAGATTTTAAGACTTTCCATTCTCTGAATGCATTGTGGAAGCGACACAAGGTTAGGACAGCAACTTATGTACAGATACTGGAGATAAGTCAAGCTTGAAAGGCTTGTAGGCAGCATTTGAAGCGTTTCAAGACAGCTAATATATAATGACTCCAAATGATTGAGGTTGTTCAGTAAGTTTTCAGGCACAGACATAAACAAAGGGCAGTTGCTTATGTCCAAGTTGCGGAGATGAGGGAATAGCTCTTGTCCTTCCTGCCTGGACAATTTTCTCAGCTTTGGAAGGTCATTCATATTGAGTGAAGTCAATGATGGGAACCTCATTCTGATCAAGCCTTCGCCTTGTAATTCATTGTCAACATACTCAATAGGAAGCCCTTCTAAACGCAAAGATTTCAATAAAGGTAGCTCCCCAAATGGTGGAAGATTGACACAATTTTTGCAGTTTTCTAAAGAAATATCGACAACATCCTTCATTATTGGACTGCTCATCCAAAATGGAAAAGATGTACCTCTGAAGCCATATATCCTCAAAGAGTGAAGTTGGGAAGGAGGAACAAGGTACTTCACTATGTCATGATCAACATGATTTTCTGCATTACTAGTACCTTCTTCAGAATCCCATGACAAAGATAAGTGTCGAAGATCTTTTTTTCCTTCTAAATTGGCCTCTTTTGCATCCTCACTGCTTTTCACTTTCTCCAAATTTGTGATATGAAGAGTACCTCTAAGATTCAAGTCTTGCAATTCACTAATCTTAAAACCTCTTTGTTTCCCAACAACAAACTTGTTTAACGTTTTTAGGCAAGTTAACTGACCAAGACTAGGGGGCATTCCAATTAGGGGACAATCTATCAAGCAAAGATGCCGGAGATTTTTAAGGCTACAAATGCGCTTGGGTAAACATTGAAGCTTCCAACAGTAGTCCAGATTTAGAATCTGTAGGTTCCAAAGATCACATATCGTATCAGGTAATGTTTGAATTTCTGTAAACGAGAGATTTAAGTACCTTAGGTGCTTCAGACTGCCGATTGCAGATGGCACGTCTGTGAAACTTCCCCACTGCCGACTTGCATCCAACACTCGAAGACAACTGAATTTTGAAGGATCCTTGAGTATTAGAGTTGTGGTAACAGGTGGTAGTGATAGATAATGATCTCTCAGTAAGATCTGCTGGCTTGACCTGCTGCCCTCCATCACAGAATGGGCAAGATCATGAATAAGGTCATGCATTTTGAAAGTAACATCCCCAAAGTCATTCTTCCACACATCATGAAAAAAGGATCTCATGTACAACTCATTCCACACCTCATTTCCAACATCCTCCATCTCCAAATTTCCACGGGATAAAATGAATCCATTTGCCATCCAAAGATGAATCAGCTTTTCCTTCTTAATTTCAGTGCTCTTACGAAATACAGAACAATATGCAAAGCATCTTCTCATCTCAAAAGGAAGGTTATAATAACTCAATCTGAGTGCAGGCAAAATAAAAGTCTCTCCTTGAGGCAAGTTCCAAATTTCACTTTCTTTCACAAATAACCATTCACTCTCTTCTTTTTTAAAGCGCATAAATCCTCCAAGAGCCTTTGTCGCCAGAGGCACACCCCCACATTTTGCCACAATTTCTCTACCAATTTTTTCTAGTCTGGCTTCTTCTTTTGGTTCTTGCCCAAATGCAAGCTGCTTGAACAGCAACCAAGAATCTTCTTCTGACAAACCTGATAAACAATATGTAGGTAGAGTCCCCGCAATGATTGCAACCTTCTCAAGACGAGTAGTGATGATGATGAAAGAGCCAGTTGATCCACAAGCAAGAACATCTTTCAACCTTTGCCACTTATCTTGATCCTCATTCCACACATCATCCAACACAAGTAAGAATCTTTTTTTACTCAACAAGTCTTGAAGGCTTCTCTGTAGAGGATCTAGCTTCAATGCACCAGAACCATTCCTAGTGGCAGATTCTAAAATTTCCTTTAGCACTCTCTTGACATCAAAATCACTAGTAACACAAACCCAAAGTCTTAGCTCAAAGTGTTGAGCCACCCTTTCCTCATTGAAAACCATCTGGGCAAGTGTAGTCTTTCCCAGACCCCCCATTCCTAATATAGGTAAGACTGAAACATGTTCACCCTCCCTTGTTCCGTCAACCAACCACTCTATAATTCTCTCCTTATCTTCATCCCTTCCAAAGATACTCGACTGCGTCAAGATTGATCCAGTTTCCTCCACTTTAACGGGCATCCTATCACCAATTTCTCTCAGATGGAACTTAATCCGCTCCTCAGCTATGGCATTCAGTTTTTCTATCACTGCTTTCATTCTTTTCCCAATCTTATGGCGAAACAAAACGTTACCTACAGTATTAATTAGCAGGCGTTTGATGAAAGTTTGGTGTTTGTTTTGAAGGTGGGAGGCTTCAGTTGTGCAATCGTCCAAGATATCATCCGCTTCATAAGCAGCAGCATTGAGCTTTAGGAGCCAGTTGCGTAGGACCTTGTCTTTCAGTTGCTTCTCCTCTGCATCTTCCAGAACGTCCTGAATGGTAGAGAGCAAGCTGGATAGCTTTTCCATCTCCTTTTCGATGCCCCATAGCAATCCCAACTCTTCTCGGATCAGAGAGCTGAGATTCTCCAGAATTACTTCGATTAGTGCTCCTTCCATGACTCTTTACAATTTTTAATCCACAAATCACAATAGAGAATGATGGTAGAGAGAGAGAGAGAGAGAGAGCGCGAGCTAATAGCTACACTTACGGGAGCTTGATTTTCAGTAGGGTTAACACGATTCGAAGTCTTCATCTCCCGGTCCTCCCCGCGTGTTCCCAGAAGGTGTAGTTGCACCACTTGCACCAATTCTCTGTTTGATTTCTAGCTTTAGTATGACTTATGAGTATTAAGTGTTAACCTACACCCTCTTATATCTACTCAATTAAATTTGATTGAGTAAATTCAATAAAAAATTATTAGCATTGCTTTGCGGGTAACAACCATGTAAGATTTTCTCATTATGTGGTGTAATTGGCTGTCATCAACTACAAGTCTAGAGGATTAATACACTAGTAAGATTTTTGAAAACAATGGTGAATTGTTAAAGAGTTCGAGAGGTAACTTTAACCATTCGAAAAGTTTGTATAGCAGAAATTGTGTTAACCCCTTTTAAAATTTATTCGTACGTAGGTTTGTTTTTGTGAAATGTTAAGTTTGCTAGTGATAATATGCAATGAAAGTAGTAAGTAAAGTAAAGAGAGAGAGAAGGCCATCGTGGTTCATTCAGCCAACATAGTCTACTCCACTCTTCTCCTTAGAACTCCTAGAAGAATTGCATTATCACTTAGTACAATAACGAACGTTCAAGCCTTGAATATTAAGTCGGTCTTGAACTCCACCAAGTTTTTCAACTCCTCACTGAGTTTACTCTGCCTCTTTCTACTACTACCGAGTAGAGAATACAAGTTTGAATAAAATAATTCTTCTTTCTCCAACAAAGAGAGCTTGGCTTGAGGATCTTGATCTTCGCGAGTAAGTAGCACAAGTCTCTTGCAATCTGGATGATTGAACTTGAAGCTTTGTCTCTCTTTCTCACTGGTCACTAGATGTGAAAATACTTGAAAGCTTTTAGCACTTAGAAAATTTTTAATTCAGATCACTAGCACCTTCTTCAATCTTAGAAGATGGTATTTATAGGCGTATTGAAAAAAGTCCGTTAGATAGAAACCAATTTTAAACGGCTATTAACCAGTGGGTGGAGACCAGCGAGGTAATCCGGAGGGTATGTGTAACACCCCAAAATAGTTTTCCCCCAAAGCTAAAATAGGCACCATAGCCATGATACACTCTACTAAAAATAATCTCATACTTCATATAGGGTAATAAATTTCTCAAGATAATAGTATTTAACACTTTCAAAGCATTATAACCATTTCATAAATCATTTCCAATCATTTCTCAAAACATAATATAAATATTATAATTCATTCAAGGCATAATACTTTCTCAAAACATTTTCAAAATATGCATAAGTATGGAGGATTTCAAAATAACATTTCTCAACATAATATTTCTCATCCAATAATCATTTCAAAGCATAACGGGTCGTTTACCAACTTGGAAAAATGGAGGATTTTCCAGAGAAATTGAGAAATTGAGAAATGAAAAAAATACAAATTGAAGAAGTTGTTTACTAAATTTTTTCTTCAAATTATCTAACTCTTCTCCATTTTCTAACTTTATGTATATTTTTGGAGAAGTCCATTTCAAATCTTCAAATGGAGGAATGGAGAATGGATGGGTGAACAGTAATGTGTGTGTGAGGTCAATGGGTTGATTCCTGCTCAGCATGGGATTCCTGTTGCTGCTGAGAGGCTAGAGCATGCCTATTATTGCTTTTCCAATTTCCATAGTTTCAGTTTTCATTTCCCTTCTTATTATGCTCACAGATTTATTATTATTATTATTACTAGTAATTCACCCCCGCGATGCACGGGAAAAAATTATGTTATTATAAATATAAATAAAAAATAGAAAAACTAAAATATTTTAAAGTATTTAATATAATAATATTTTTGAGCTTTCATTGGTCAAGTATTTATTATTTTTATAGAATAAAAAATTACAATTAAAATTAAAATTAAAATTAAAATTAAAATTAAAATTTTATATGGTTAATATAATCTCTAATTATGTGCATATTCAAATAAACTAATAGAGAGACTTTACATAATTACATTGATTTATTCTTAATTGTATTTCATCTATATTATAATTTTCACAATACGAATAATAATTAAGATAATTACATTTGGAAAGCAAATTTCAAATTTTGCATGTGTAAATTTAAACTCTAATTGAACATATTTTTTATATGATTATATAATATATAGCTATTTTATTTTTCAAAATTATATTTTTTATATGATTATATAATATATAGCTATTTTATTTGTTAAATGTTGTGCTTTTTTTATATATATATATAATAAAGGATGTTGTGGCATTAATTGTAACATTAATTATTTTCCAAACCATATAGCTTTATTATATAAAGGATTATTATTATTATTATTATTAACATGCGCACAGAGTCATAGATTTATTATTATTTTTTATATATATTTATTGTACAAATTTATATGGGATATTGGGATGACTGTATTTAATGATATTCTGCGTATTTGGCTGTGTACTCAAACTATATATTAAAATGATTGAAATAATTGTAATTTATTTCCTTTCAAAAAAAATTGTAATTTATTTAGTAATATATTTTTCTCTAACTTTTTTTTTGTACCAGGACTATGTGGTCCAATGGTACCCGGGTTGGACTTCCATTTGGAAGGTTGTGAGTTCAAGCCTCAGTGGAGGCATTATTAGCTCTTTGTGTTTCAATAGGTTGAGAAAGTATATGAACAGATACTACTATGTAATAGAGCTAGTAGCATTCAAAAAAAAATATTTTTCTCTAACTTTGTTACCTTTTTTACATTTAGTATTAATGTATTAACTTTTTTATGTGATAAAACGAATTATAAAATTATTTTTAAGAAAATCATATATATATATATATATATATATATATATATATATATATATATATATATTGTGCTTGATTGTCTATCCCAGTCTTATTTCCCCCCTAATTTAAATAGTGCAAATATTGTATTGATCCCTAAGAAATCTGTTCCGGTGTCTGTGTCTGACCTGAGGCCGATTGCTCTATGTAACGTACTTTATAAAGTCATGGCTAAGATGGTTGCTAACCGTATGAAGCCACTGTTGGAGGGGATTATTTCTGAGTCCCAGAGTGCCTTCCTTCCGGGCAGATTAATATCAGATAATATTATGATAGCCTCGGAGGTCGGACATTACCTAAGGAGAAAGCAATTGGGCCAGGTAGGCTGGGCAGCTCTAAAGCTGGATATGGCCAAGGCGTATGACAGGATGGAATGGCCTTTTGTGGAACAAATGTTGAGGAGGTTAGGGTTTGATGACAGGTGGGTGCAGCTGGTTATGTTGTGTGTCCGTTCTGTGCGGTATAAGGTTCTGATTAATGGTAGGCCTTCTGAGGAGATTGTCCCCACGAGGGGTCTTAGGCAAGGTGATCCCTTGTCTCCTTATCTTTTTATTATCTGCGCAGAAGGGTTATCTTTATTGCTGCAAGATTCTCAGACCAGGGGGTTAATTCATGGTTGTAGGGTGGCCAGGGGGGCTCCGTCTATCTCACACTTGTTTTTTGCAGATGATAGTCTTCTCTTCTTTAAGGCAAATCTGCAGGAAACGATGGAGGTAAAGAGGTGCCTCGGTGTTTATGAGGCCTATTCTGGGCAGGCGGTCAACTTTAATAAGTCGAGTATTTCTTTCAGCCGCAATACGAGGAATGAAGTAAAAGATCTCCTAGCCGGGGCCTTGGGGGTTGCTCAGGCAGATGATTTTGGTAAGTATCTGGGCCTCCCTTCCGTGATTGGCAGAAATAAGAAGTTGGTTTTTGCTTATATTGAGCAGAAGATGAAACAGAGGTTTGGGACGTGGAATAAGCGGCTCCTGTCCAGAGCTGGTAAGGAGGTCCTTATGAAGAGTGTGGCGCAGGCTATGCCTACTTATACAATGAGCATCTTTTTAATCCCCAAAACTTTGTGTGCTTCCCTTGAGAGGTTGATGAACAGATATTGGTGGGGGCGGAACGTAAGGGAGGATAGTATTCATTGGTTGGCTTGGGACAGAATGTGTATGCCTAAGAAGTTTGGGGGTCTGGGCTTTAAACGGTTGCATGAGTTCAATTTGGCGTTACTTGCCAAGCAGGGTTGGCGCCTCCTCACGAAGCCAAACACGCTAATGGCTCGTGTGTTAAAAGCAAGGTACTTTCCAACTTCTACCTTTTATGATGCTACAATGGGGGGAAACCCGAGTTATGTGTGGAGAAGCATAATGGCAAGTTAGGGGCTTGTTAAAATGGGGTGCAGACGGAGGATTGGCAATGGGCGTACTACTCAGGTTTGGACACACCCTTGGTTGCCGGATGCTCACGATCCTTATGTGTCTACTTTGCAGCCGGATCCCAATCAGGTTTTGACTATGGCTGATTTGGTGGATGACTTAACGGGCGCATGGAATGGTACCTTGATCCACCAGGTTTTTAATGCACGGGATGCCACCTTGATTAACAATCTGCCGTTGAATGGTACTTACGACGACCTGTGGTACTGGAAGGGGATATAACGGGGAATTATTCGGTAAGAAGTGGATATAGACGGTTGGTGGGTGGTTTTGCTCCTAGTTCGCCGGTATGGAGTAGGTTATGGAACTTGAAAATCCCACCTAATTGGAAGAATTTTATGTGGAGAGCGCTGTCTAACATTTTACCAACTCCTGATAATTTGGTTAAAAGGAGGGTGGATCTAGTTAATGTATGCCCAACTTGTGGTTTAGTAGAGGAAAATGTCATGCATGTGCTTTGTTCTTGCCCTTTTACCTCTTTTATTTGGAATTGCTCCCAGTTGCCATTACCCCATTATAATGGTGACAATTTTCTGTTTTGGGCAGAATTGTGGTTAGGTGGAGCATCAGCGCTGGATTGTGACAGTAAGGGGAAGATGTGTGGCTTGTTGCATAGTATTTGGACAGCACGAAATTCGGCTGTATGGAATGGTTTCCTGCCAACCCCCACGGCTTTGTGTAGTCGGTTCCTATCTACTTGGGCAGCATGGATGCAGCATGGTGCCAGCCCGAGGATCACACAGCAACAAGCAGTGTTGCAAGCTAATCAAGGCCAGCATGGCTTGGCATGCTATGTGGATGCGGCGTTTCAAAATAATCAGCAGCAGCCAACTTACGGCTTTGTGGTGTTGGAGGAGGATGGGAGGTACGTTGCTGCGGTGAATGGTCCTTTGGTATGCCCGTATGATCCCTTAATGGCGGAGGCGATGGCGGTGACTGAGGCGCTTTCTTGGCTAAAGAATAATGGTTACACGGCGGTCAGCCTATTCACGGATTGCGCGGTTTTGGTGTCTAGTATTAGAAATGCATGTTCCTTTCGTTCTTATTTTGGTTTTATTTTAGACTCGTGTATTCGTTTAATTTCTTCTATGCCTGGTACTGTAGTCTCGTATGTTAGACGGGACGCAAATGTTGCGGCACATATGTTAGCTAAGCATAGTAATGCGCCTGCTGGTGGTACTGTTTGGAGGGATGGTCCTCCGTCTTTCTTGGAGCCGATTTTGGCAAATGCAATCTGAGTTACATGGTTTTCAATATATATATATATATATATATATATATATATATATATATATATATATAGAGAGAGAGAGAGAGAGAGAGAGAGAGAAATTGGAGGAATGGAGGATGAAAATTAGAAAATCGGTGAAATGAAAAAATGGAGGAATGGAGGAGGAAAATTGAAAAACTGGAAAAATGAAAAACTAGAAATGGAAAAATAGAGAAATAAAATAAACGACCCCAACATTTTTCAATTGTCATTTTCAAAGTATATATATAGATATAATTTAGGTATGAAGGATTACAAAGCTCATCTTTTCTCATAAGCATTTCCAAGTATCATAAACACGTATGGAAGAATTCATATCTCACTAGTGAGGTAGGGGCATCATCTCAGTGAAGCCCTTAGTATGCAGTCAGGGGCGGAGCCACCTAGAGCAACAAGGGCCTTGCCCCCGCCCCTCCCCCCCACCCCCCCCCCCCAAGAAAGCTTCTAAAGTAAGTTTCATACTCAAATCATCCAAACCATACAGGCAGACAGCAGATACACAAGTAATTTCTCTTCAATTTTCAAGTTGTAAGTCTATAGGTAATTTTCCATTTCTCTTTTATTCTTTAAATCTTTGGATTTTTTTTATGAATTATTCTTTATTGGAGATGGATTCATCAGTCCTCACTACAGAAAAAAGTCTATATATTGTAGTTAAATGGTAGCTAAATCCTCTCTTTCGTTTCCGCAGTTGACGACGGCAACCGCGGTGAACTCGGATTACGAGCAGTGGCGGCTAGATTCTATCGGGAGTGTCGGCGTTCTCCTTTGGCCACATTGTCACAGACCAACTTTACCTTTGGGCTTTGGTTGGGAGAAAAATAATTATTATAAAAGGTGAAATTGAAGGGGTTGTACTGTTGTACTGGTTGGTGAATGTTTAGACTTTTTAAGAGTTTAATAGAATTTGGTAGGGGTGTAAACGAGCCGAGCCGAGCCCGAGCGTGGGTAGGCTCATGCTCGTGCTCGTTAATGATAGCATTGCTCGAGCTCGTGAACTGATGCTCGAGCTCGAGCTCGGCAATTGTCGAGTTGCTCGAGCTCGAGCTCGAGCAGCTCGATTGTTCGAGCTCGAGTTCAGGCTCGAATTCGATCTCGAGTTTAGGCTCGAATTTGAGCTCAATTTTGATCTCGAATTTGACCTGTTTGATTTAAAATTTAAACTACTTTGTTTTATGACTTTTATCCATACATAATTATTAAAATATTTTAATTTCCCTCCCCTAATTATTATTTTTATATACTAAATATAATATAATTATATTATATATTATATAATATATTATAAGGCTCGCGAGCGGCTCGTCGAGCCGCGAGCCTACAGTACCTAAGCTCGGCTCGTGCTCGTTTAATCCACGAGCTGCTCGAGCTCGAGCCTAGCTTGATTTTGACCGAGTTCGAGCCGAGCGTTGACCGAACCGCTCACGAGCAACTCGCGAGCGGCTCGGCTCATTTACACCCCTAGAATTTGGTAGAATTTAAATACTAGCGCATAATGAAATGGGTGATTTGATGAGTTTTGAAAATGACAGTATTAATTGAGGAATATAGACCATTGTGGATTTGAAATTAGATTATGATTAAGAAAGAGATCAAAAGCTAGCATATTTAATTCATGCAGATAAAAAACTAGATTATTAGAATGCCAAATCATTTTAAATTAATATTTGGTTAAGAAGTTAGAACAATTGATGTTAACTACTCTATCTTTCCATAAACAACATAATTTTTATATAATTTATGATCACGTAGGATATGTGAATAATTATTTATTAATTCTATTTATATTAAGTTAGGAACATTTTGTAATTAGATTTTAATGATACCAAGCTTAGGAGTTTAGACCTCTTAAATCGTTTATTGTCTTAGACTTAGGTCAAATTTATCTTCATTCGAATCGTTAACCCGAGTGATCACTTTAAGCACTCTTGGGTTTCAAGATGAATGTCATACGAGATGACAACACTCAGGCGAATCAAAGATAACGAACGAGACGTGACCCAAGAGGTTATTTCTCAACAATTCGTAGTCCTAAACGAAGACTTGAAGACCTGAAGACTCGAAGACAAAAAGCACAGAGGTTGCAAAAAGACCGAATCATGGAAAGGTCTACCTCATGTATTATCAATGTCGAATGATAAAAGGAAAATCATTCGAGACATTATGGGACGATTGATAAAGTCAACCAATCATATTCGAGGGAATGAAAATGATCAAAACGATAGACAAGCTAACGACTCGATAGGACAAGCCAGAAACATTCTCGGTGCATGTATAGTCCGGAACCTTAAAGTGAGCAAATGTGCTATGGACAAAATGAGTCCTACGTACATATCCCAAAATCAACTTTCATTAAATGCCATGTCCTTTATGTAAAACAAAAAGTAATATGTTTAGCGCACTTTATAGACCAACATTTGTCGAGTACCGAAAGTCACGTACTGTCGTATTACCCAGCGGTCTCTACTCACAGGTTAATATGCTTTGAAATTTTGTCTTCCCTCCAACGGGACAATTTTGTAGGAAATGAGCAAGTCGATTTACCACAAAAATAATATATATATATATATATATATATATATATATATATATATATATATATATATATAAACAAACGATATGAAATTTATATAATCTTCTTAGATTATAATTCCAACCAACAACTATATAAATAAATATATAGAACAAGGATTCATTGCTTAGAGCATAATCCCAAAACCTTGAACCGAAAGACGAAAAGACCGAAGATGAAGGAAAAGTGGTTAGTACGAATCGAGCGAAACACTTTTTCCTTAAAACTTTATTTACTACCTCCCAAAAGTGCTGGGAGCGTTGTAGTCTAGGTTTCCTAAGATAAAACGTACTACGATTCAATGTTTGAGCACCAAAACGAATGAACCCGGCGAACTAGAGCACGGACATAACACAGCCGACAAGAAGGAGTAGGAGCAGAGTTTTAGAGAGAAGAAAATCTGATTTCTGTGTGTGTGTGTTTCGGAACATCAGCATCAGTACAAAATCAATTAAGGCAGTGCAGAAACCCCTTTCAAGACTTATCTCCATCATCATCGGCAATGCCATTAAAAGTCCAATCTACAGTTCTGCACAAAACGATGGTATTAAGAGCATCACTACCAGCGGATCTTTTTGAGTTATTGGAACAGTGTTAGGGATAATCAGGCCCGGCCCTGGGCAAGGGCAGGCTGGGCCCTTGCCCAGGGCCCACGCTTGGAAGGGGGCCCCCATCCCACCCCACTATGTTTTATTTATACTATAGTGTTATTGTATAGGTATTTAATATACATTAGAATTACTAAATGGGTTATTCAGCCTAATTGGTAAGCTGCCTTATTTATTTTTAAAAGGTCGTGGGGTTGAGCCCTCATGTGTACAATTTCATTCTTTACTTTGTAGAACCCATATATGTACATTAAATTTATGTAGTATTAAATTGAATTTATTTCTATTTTTAATTTGTATTTTTTATTAAATTTGTAACTTTGTAATTTTTTTTACCTTTCTATAATAATAATGAGATTTATAATATAGATTGATTTGTAATCTATATCAAATTTGGAATCAATTTCTATTCGAGTAATTTACAATTTATATTTAGAATACATGTTATTTTGTGAATTTTATAATGAATAATGTACATGTAATATATTTTGTGATTTAGTTATGAAAAATATTTGAAAAGATAATTTACTTTTTTTATGAATTATCTAGTTAATGTAGTTTAGAAGTTCTACTGTGTGTTATCGTATTTAAATTAATCTAGAAAAAACTTGAAATTAATCTAACTAAAACAAAAAGTATTTATAAATATAATACCAATATAGAAGATATGTGATTTATAATGTGTTTTCTATTCGAACTATTTTATCAAATTAATTATGTTTCATATTTTATAATGAATATCTTTTATCGCACTTAAAGTGTTCTGATTTATTTTTCTCAATAATTAAGACTTCATGCTCTGCTCTTGTTTATAAGTTTTGTTTTATAAATTTTTAATAATAATTACTTTATTTTTTTTTATAATAATCATAATGTGATTGCGTATAAGCTTATTTGGTATCAAATTGTTTATTCGTTTTTATAAGCTATAATTGTTTATTTATGAAGTCACTGATGCAGGTATTGATAATTTTGAATTTAGGAAAACATATAGAATTGTTTTCATATGTATGTAAAATAGTTAAACACTTTTTAATCTTATTTCAAGTTATTTGACATTAGTATTTTCATGGCCGGATTTTGGGGCATGCAAGATGAGCAACAACACAAGGCCTCAATTTTTAGAGGGCCTAATATTTACACCGTTCATACTTATTTGACATAAAAATCATATATTTTACAGTATAAATTGTGATTTTTGCATTCAACTGAGTGTTACACCGTTCGTACTTATTTGAAATAAAAATCTTATATTTTACAATATTGGTTTTAAAGGTTGTTCTTATACTTTTGATAGGGTTTCATTTATTTATAAGAACGGGGCCACAAATTTATTTTTTTTAAATGCCTATTTTGTGACTCGTCCTTATTTAATAAAAATTTTAGTTATAAAAATGTATATTAATTTCATGTAGCTAGGGCCCATTTTTGTTGCTACGCCCCGCGCCTATAAAATGATAGGACCGGCCCTGGGGATAATTACTTATGGGAGGCAGTGGTTCAAAGCAAAATAATACCTCTGCAAGAACCAAGTTTATGGCAAAGAGAGGAAAAAAAAAAACAAAAAAACAGTTGGCGGCGCAACGGGCGCGGTTGGCGATCACTCGTTCTTTTGTTTACTTTTTACTGTTTTTTTTAAAATGTCAGAATTTATTTTAGTTTTTCTTTTTCTTTTTCACCCACATTTTTATCTCTTTCCTAATCACACTTACAAAAACCCCTCAAAAATCGCACTAGAGATAAACTACTAAGAATGCTCTAATGACCAGAGTGTCATCGACCGGTGGG